GTATATCACAATGAGTCTATCAAAATAAACCCACTGTCCCCAACTAACCACTTGACTGAAAACAAAGTCTTGCAGCTCATGCCATCAACTACCGTACTTGGTTTAATTAAAAAAATCTCTGCGCAGACTGTGATTAAATACTAATGATTATAGAAAACACCTCTGTATATTTGTTGCATGTGCACAAAAATTGAGATTTTTAGGCGTTTTTTTTTTCTTAAATTCAGAGGCACATGCAAAAAATCAGGACAGTTCGCTACGTAGTTTCTGTTTAATGAGGTGGACAAGTTGTCCATTTGGTGTTGTCCGGACTATAAAAGTTCAAAAAAATTATGATTCAAGGGAGCGTCTTATTTCAAATGGTATTAAGCTGGAAGCGGTTGGTTTGGAGGGCCCCACTGGTAGGTCGTATTTCAGTTCTCTTCCTCTGCTGTTTCGGTGTTTCGGTCTGTCTTTCTCTATCTCTGCGCTAATTGACAGAAATTGCGGAATGTCGATCTTTTTACTTGAAGTAACTATCAAATCCACTCAAGGACAAGGCCCACGCTCAGAAGCTAAGGAATTAACAACAACAACAATAACAAAAGCAGCAAAAACAACAACACCAACAACAACAACACCAACAACAACAACAGCAACAACAACAACAACAACAACAACAACAGCAGTGACAACTCACACTACAACAATGCGAAGGAATAAATATGATTGTGGCAAGCAGTTAAGCTGCTGGACTCTTTAACACTATTTAAAGCCGCAGTCGACGTGAAGCAAGCAAAATCTGAATGATTTGGAGTTTTTCACAAAGAGACGCAGAACACGGGCGTCTGTGGCGTCGCAGTTCCTGTGTACTGTGTTCAGATATTTTTATATCGAGAATGTTTTTTCTTTCTTCATCCAGGGTTGACCCTATCAAGTAGGGTCGAACTCCACCTCTATAATCATGTAAATTGTATCACCTTGGGCATAAAACAACCATTCATAAAACCAAAAATCACCTGCAGAATAAATAATTTACTGAGTACCTAAAAATAAGAGAACTCACTCAAAGGACAATAACTTGATCATCAGGGCACGAATTTTAATAAAACTTCAAACAAATAAATTTCAAGCAGGGAGACGTCACGCTTGTAAATATAAAGACAATCCACCAACGCCTTCGAGAAATATAATTTTTAAAATGTCAACCAAATTTGGTTAAAACGCATAATTTTCTGTCCTAACCCTATCCGTACGTCGTGTTTTACTATCGTATCCATACGACGTAGGGGAACTCTGCGCCACCACTTTCCAAAGAGGAAATTTACTCGTTAATCTGATCCGTGCACTTTGCATAGCAGTCTGTCAAAATGATTTTTTGAGAAATCCTGAAAATATCAAAGAGATTTTCGAACTAAAAGTATTCTAAAATTTGAATAATGTAACCCTGGGGGTACAAAATAACCCCAGTGCATACTGTTAGGGTTAAAAGCGTTTAGCTACATAGGTGTGATCGACCAGTTCTAGTTTCAGGAAAACACCGTAAAACCATGACAGTCACATCAGATAGATATTTCACAGTGCTGAGACAAGTTTTGGAGAGGTTTGGGGAGGAGAAGGTGTCATGCTGTAGAGGTCTGGTTCCCGTAGGATGAGGCCACCCCCCTAATGTCTTGAGTGGCACATGTATGGTAGCAAAGTAAGTTTTGGGGAACGCCTTAAAAGCCGTAAGTTTCCCCACATTCCCCCAAACTTGAGCCCTTACAAGTTTTACCTCTGTTTTTTTCTGACAGGCAGAATATGGAAACAAGCCACAAATAATTAAACAGTTGAAATGCAATGTTGAATAGGACGCCCAAGGAATCGAACCATAAACATGCCACAGGGTTATTCAAATTTTCCAATAGCTTAATGGAGTGTGTACGAAGAGAAATAGCCAACACATGGGAATTTAAATAGCCATCACCTCCCTGAGTTTACTTGGCAACATAATTTGTGTATAAATGTGTTCCTCAAAGCAGAAATTATGACTCCTTGAAATGGACTAGTGTGATTGATTTTCAAGAAGATGCAAAGTTTCACGTTTCACTCAGTTTTGGTTGAAACTTCGCAAACTTGTTATTTTTCGAACGTTGTAATTGATTTATTTCATACTCAGAAATATAATGCCCCTCCCCCCTTCCCCCATGACTGGATTCTATTTCTCCAGTTTCGTTGAAATTGGTGAAAACATGACCGAGTTATTGGCCTGTAAATGGGTTCTCTTGTTATTTTAGACACCCGGTACAATAAACACTATCAGTGAGAAAAACAACAATTTATTATTGCGGTAGTAGCCGCGCCTAAATGCAG